AATAATTTTACTATAATTTTACCTATAATCAAAAAATAATTCCTCGCCAGGTTGAATAGCTCTTTTTGCAAAAATACCTATTCTATGATCACCATTTACCATCATTACTTTCGCATAACAATTAGGATTTATTGAATGATTGGCAAATCTTATTTTATTTCCTTTTCGAGTAGCATCCACAACAAAATCTAAAAATGGAAAAATAATTAAAAATTTGATTTTCCAAACATTGTTAAGAAAACTATAGTACTTCTTACCATTATTAAGATTAAAGAGAAAACTACACATATATTTATCATATACTTTTCCTCGTCTGTCAGCTTCATCTTGACTTATAATTTCACCACAATATTCCGATATAAATTCATTTTTTGCTGCAGATTCTTTAAGAAATATTCCCCAACCAGCTACGTCGGATGGTGCCATTAAAAGATGTTTATCTGAAATTATAATTATAAACAATCACATGGTTAAAATTGCGATTAGAATGTTGTGATTTAAAAGATTATTGCTTAAAAAAACTTAAAAAAATACTTACGAAGACCTCGTTGAACGCTAACGTTTTTGCAAGATATTTTGGTAATTTGAAACTGATCTGCACCACATGTCTGACATAAATCTGGATCGCATTCTCTTACAGCTAGGTAACAAGGACACTGTTTTGTATTACATTGGGCTTTGCACCTACACCCTGGAAAACGATTTTGACATTCGCTACTACACTGGCAAAACTTCTCACAGAAGTTTTGAGCTTGTATACATGGACATGAATTATCGCATTGTCTTCCCGGATGATCGCATGGTGCAAAATTATGGACATGATTGGCGCCTTAAAAGCAAAGAAAATAATAAAAAAATAATGTAAATTATGAATAAAAAAATAAATTAATATTATTTATTTTAAAATATTCACCAGAATCTTTTTTCAACTGTATTTTTCTACAATGCATTGACCAAAGACGATGTTTCTTTTTTTTCTTCCGTGGTGGTGTAAAGTCCTTCAAATTTTCTACTGCTGGAATATCTGATGCTTCTTTTTGTGCAAATTGATATACTTCCTGACATGTTTTAGTCAACATAATTTGTGCTAATGCACATGGATTACCAGGAAAAGCCTTATGAAGAGCTCGAAATAGACTTTGTTCCGAACCTGTCCATGATGGTTCGCTTTCTGTCTTTATTCGTTTATCAAGACCCAAAAGCGTAAACGGCGCTTGATTTTCTGGTTGTGCTTGATCTTCCATAGATTCTTCGGATTTTGTTTCTTTGTTGACATTTTGTTTAAAATCTGATGTGATAATATACTTTATCAGAATTTCGATTGATAAGTGCGAAATAGCTAATCCGGAGAAAATGAAATATTCTGTATTACCTTGGCAACCGCCTCCTTGACTATATTTATTGCTATCATTGCTATCTTCGCTACTTGCTTCATTTCCAGAATCTACACTTGCTTGTTTTCGCACTTTTCTAGGTCCTCCACGTTTTTCATCGCTTTCTTCGTCCTTTATATCAGCCGCTTGTGCGGCAAGTTTTTCTTTCATTCCTTCCTATTCAAAAAGATTTATTTGTATTTTTATTTATGTATTTTTTGAAACATTATTATTAATATTTTTGTTTTTACCAAGTGCATATAACATTCTGTTCCGCATGGTTCAGCAAAAGGTTTTAAATCAGGTCCCTTTCGTTTTTGTAAATTTGGTCCTGGATGACAAACTTGAAGACCTATAAGTAACAATGAAAATTTAATATAAAATTATTCCTTAAGAAAAATATCATGAATGAAATAGAATTTAGTATGTGGACACAGCGTCGAACGATGAACGAAATATGATTGCAGATGTATCCTTGATGGCATCTCCATGCTAAATAAAAAAAAAAAAAAAAAAAAAAGAAAAAAAAAATAAAAAAAAATAAAAAAAATAGAAGAAAACAGAAAAAAAAGAAGCTTCGTTTAAATGCGATCGTTTGTATGCAGTGTTATTCTTTACCTGACGGCGACGCTCCCCTGGCTGCTACAATAAATCAGGAATCATAAATAATCGCAATTAACGAATACAGCATGGTGTATGGCCATTAAGTTGTATCTCAGTATTGATTTTTATAATTAAATTAATATAACTAATTTAAGAGAGAAAGAGAGAGAGAGAAAGAGAAAGAGAAGTAAAGTTTTGTGTGTTATTCTTATACTCACGATGGAGAAAACAGTCGTATTTAAAGCATCTTCTGCAGAATAATGTATGAAAAGAATGCATTGTTTGTTCTCTAGCTACACTCTTTGCATTTACTCCATCGATATTTGGTGTACATTCTGGTGGTAAAATATTTGGATCTGATTTTTCTGTTAATTCTATATATTTTTCTTTCAATTCTTCTGGTCTACCTTTGTCTGGAAACATACTTGATATTGCCTAAAGAATTAATATAATAATATTATAATACAAATATATATAATACAAATAATAAAACATAATATTTTTACATATTTTATTTACATTAAATATGTGCATAGATGGAAATGGATTTTTATCAGTTTTAGCTTCTTCTAATAATTTTTCACTTTTAGCTTCTATTTTAATTCTATCATCTTCTTTATCTTTTCCTTTTTTAATTTGTTCTTTATCTTTATCTTCTTTTTCATACTGCATCAAAGCATTTACTAGATCCACAAAAATTGAATCATCCATGAAACCTGATTCTCTGTCTCCATGTACCTATAATTAATTGATTAAAATTTCTCATAAGCATTAAGTTATTTCATTATAATAAAATTAATTCTTAGTCTTATTTTTGTATATACTTTTCCATCATAATTTTTTATCAATTCTTCGATAAATGTACCATCTTGATCTAAAATTTCATCTCCCATATAAGGTATATTATGCAACACAGTTTCATCTTCAACCATAAAGTTTTGTTGTATTGGTGCCCAAGTATACATGGTTGGTATAGGAGTAACTGCATTAATAATTTTAACAGGACAGGTTTGTATCTCGTTATCGGAACTAGTTACTTCAGCCTTTTTCATACAAGATACATGCGGTGGTATATCTTGCATTGCAAGCCACATTGCTTTTCCATCTGCCCATCTTTTTTGTTCAGACATTAAAAGTTCTGAAAAGTAAGAAAAGTTAAAGACTTTGCTCTTGTAAAATAATAAAAGAAAAAAAATATACTAACCAGACATAACCTTACGATTTTGATTCCAAGCTACTTTTACCTCATCTGCTCGTTTGTAGCGTTTCATTTGTCGTAAACGCATATATTCTGATTTCACTCGCTTTTTCCATTCTGCAGATACTTTTGCTTTGGACATAGCAAAAATTTAATTTGTAAACTTATAAATTATTTAAAGAACGTATATCTCGTCACAACGTTGTGTTATGTACTATTTTTATTTGACAATAGATATCCATGATATGCGACTGTCGTGACATCTCGTAGACAAAAAGCCTTATACTGATCTGAATCGGTAGAAAATAGAATCGGTAAAAGAGAATGATATTATACGAATAGAATGACATTAAAATGATAAATTCAAAAATATATTATGTTAAATGTTAGCTCTCTTCTGCATCGCAAATTTAATAAGAATAATAACGCTACTAATAAGACTAATTTTAATATATAAAATATATACTCATATTGTAAAATGAAATAATTATATATTATATTTATATTATACATAATATTAATTGTAAACATAATATATATTTTTTAAATATGTTATAGAATAATATCAAATATATAATATTATAATATCAAATAATTAATATTGAATAATTAATTGAATAATTATTTTTATTTATAATTTTCTTGTATGTATTCAATTAATATATCAGACCTTATAATAGAGAAGGAAAACAAATAGTGGAAAAAGGATGAAAATAGATTAATAATATTGAAATCTCTAGAATGTGATATTTCTAGAATGCTGCAGATAAAATTATATAGATAGAGATCAAGAAGATAAAATAGTGTGAGAACAAAATTAGGAATTGATTATTAGTGACATCTTTTTGATGTCAAAAATACTTCAAGTTCGAACATCTCTCAAAGAGATGGCGCCACTAGTTAAATATTTATATAAAAATATTTTTAGCAGTCAAAAGATGGCGTTCATCTTTAATTCTTACTTATCTATTAATTTCTACTTCATCACGAATATTTTTTTGTATATTCTGTATTACTAATAGTAGCTTTTAGTATTCATCCGGGAGATGACGTTGTTTCGCAAAATTTTTCAATCTTCCTTTTAGTTATGAATGAAATGTATTCCATTAACAGTTTACATAATTAAAGAAAAAATATTATAAAATTCTATAATTTTCAAAAATAATTGAATAATATCGTAAAAAAATATATACGCAGATATTTCAAAGCGAGAAACTCATAGAAGTTGAGAGAATTAGGAAAAAGAATTTTTTTAGAAAAAAAAAGAAAAAAATAAGATTAAAAAAAAAGAAATATAAAAATATTAATGAAATTCCGTGATTCATATTGAAAATTTGATTTTCCAGTCAATCACATGCAAGCATCGTGAAATAAAAAAAAAGACATTAGAACGTCAAATTTCAGATCAAACTTTTCAATATGACAATGTCAATTAGCGAAATTATGCTTGTATAACTTATTCACACGCGAATAAACATAAAATTAATTTGAAAAAAAAAGAAAAGGAAAGATATACCTACACATATAGAACTCTTTTTGAGCCAAGCTTGAATATTAATAAAAAAAATGCAGCAATTGATTAGGCTGGCAAATTTTCTTGGTATTGAAGAAAATCTAAGCTGGACATTACTAAAGTCCATATATTAAAATTTTTAAAGGCATTTTTCCTCCCTTGTCTCTGGTGCTTCATATTCTGTAACCACATCTTTGAAGAAGGTAAAAAGAAGAAAATAAAATTGGAAAAACTATCTTATAAGCACTTGTCGAAATTTTAAACAAAGAAATTTAAAAAAAGAGAACAAATAAACTTTATTTATTTTATTAAATATATTTTTTTAAAAATATTATTTATAAAAATATTTATCATTTTCTATGTATCTAAGTATTTTATTGATAAATAATGTATGTTATCTATGTATTTTATTGATAGATAAATGTGTACGTCGCTCGTCGCTGCCCAAGAATGCGAAAAAGTACAATCGATTCAGAAACGAATTGCATCTGGACCGCGGAGACTTCTACATCCACGTTTCCGGTGTTCAACAAACTGATTGGATACCCTGTGAACAATTTTGTTCACGTAGACGTGTTAAAAGAGATAAAAATAGGCGTTCTATTTTTTTTAAAAGAGGTACATTTTCACATATACAATACGCATTTTATATCTATGAACTTCTTCTTCTTCTTTTTTTTTTTTTTTTTTTCTTTTTTTTTAATTTCATTTCATTCAATAAAAATTCTAAAAGAGAAAATTTTAAACACAAATAACAACGCAAATTTTTATTATTATTATATCACAGGTACGGCTCGTTTAAGGTGTACTGAAGGCACGTTTCGCGTGCATAATATTTATGGCGATGGAAATTGCATGTTTCGAGCGATTAGCTACATTTTATGGCGAAACGAGGATGAACACCGATACCTTCGTTCAATGGTATGATTTATTTATTCCCCTCTATACCGTGTTAAAATTAATTGATTCGATCGATTAATCGTTTTTGTTCGAAACGGTTATACTTATTTTAATTAATCAAATCATAAGTGCATTTCCAATTATTTCGATTAATATATCATTGACATTTCCTAATAATAATAATATTTAAATTCTAATAATAATTCTTCAAATTCTCCTATCAATTCTCTTCGTTTCTTTTCACGCTTCTTATTTATCAGAAATGATGGAAATTCTGAAATTCGATAGGTCGTGCAACACATCAAGGAAAATTGGCACGAGTACGGGCCTTTCGTGATAGCTGAATGGAACATATCGGATAGACAAACTTATGACAATTACATGAGCATGGTGGGCACATTTGCAAGTGAACTCGAATGCACGGTGGCCACCAAGTTATACGACATGAATCTGTCGATTTATCGCGAGATAAACGACAGGCACGAGCTTAAACGAGTGTTTTACAATCACGTTAGCTCTCACTTCGAGACAGCTAGGCTTTTATTCACTGGAAACTCGGACAGCGGTCATTATGACGTGCTGGTTCCCGATTGACGAATGTTTTTCGAGCAAAAAAAAGAAAAAAGAAAAGAAAAAAAAAAAAAAAAAAAAAAAAAAAAAAAAAAAAAAAAAAAAAAAAAAAAAAAGAATTGAAGATTCAATCTAGATACACGTTATTCTTCTCTTTTTAATAGATACAATTTATATATATTTTCGTATCGAGATTTGCATATCTTGTAATTATGTTAATGATGACTCTTTAAACTTTTCGTCCTTTTTTTTGAAAGTATTTATCTTAAACTTGTGTCGACTTTTAAATTATATTTAAAATAAGAACATATGAACAGTTGGAATAAAATTTTGTTTCGCACGGAATACATACTTTAGCTACTTTTTCATCGAAGTGAAACAAATTTTTAAGTGAATTTTTTTTAGGCTGTGTATTATATCGTCGTTCATAGACCATCTTCTATTCAATCTTTGATTCTACCAGAGAAGGATGAGGAAAAACTCGTTTTTCACGTGGGATAATCGCATCTGTTAAAGTCGATCCAGTTTGTGAGCAACGTTATTCCATTGTAGATTATGCAACTGAAAAAAATAAATAAATAATAAAATAAATAAAATGAAAAAGATAATTAATTTTTGTTGTATATACAAAAAAAAAAAAATAGAATAAAAACTTGTACCGTATAGCTGATTCTCAAACTTTACATTCATTTTAATATTTATTTATTACATGATTTGTAAAAAATAAAATAAATCATTCAATATACCCTATTTGATACAATAGTTTGAACGTCCAGCTCACATTATACTGATCAGTCTTCACTGCTCTTACTATGTTCTTGCTTACTTCTTCTTCACTTTGCTTCAATGAGCTTTAAATTCAATCATAAGATAAATCAGATGAAAAAAAATTTAAATCTACTATTATTTAGTCGTTGAAATAGATGAAAAATTCTAAAAAATTACCCCCACACATATTATTACCTGGATTTTGCAATTGGAGAATATGCCAAAAATGTTAAGTAACTGCTGTGCTCGCTCAATTCTTGACGCATACTTTCTATGAAATCTGTATCGGCCATTTATCAAACATTGATAAATTAATACATACCGTACGAACGTTGTATAAATAGATAAAAAATATATTTATAGTACAGCGATGAAAGATTATTATTCGAATATTACTAACACATTATAGCCGCTCTGGAGCTATGATAAGCGTCGCTGTTCAATGAGATTGGAGTAACACCAATTATATGGCCTCGTTTTTGATACAACATCATTGGAAGAAACGTCAAAACTGTCTGCGCGAAAAAATATATCGTTATATATATATATATATATATATATATATATATATATATAATTTTAAATAATAATAATAATAACGTATACCCAGAAATGGGCCATCAATGTCCTGCTACTCGCGTCGAAGATATTCTCGTTCGATTCGTTGATGCAAGTAATCAGAACGTCGATTCTTCCAATATCTTTTTTCACTTTTTGAACGGTCCCTCTAATCGCATCTTTATCCAAGAAATCACACTCGTAAGTGAATATCATCGATCCGGATCGCGACGATTCGTTCCTCCTCTGCGATCTCGCCTCGACGATCAAATGTCGTTGCTTCAATCTGGATACCGTTTCCTCGATCGTTTTCGAATCTTTGTCCACGCAAATCACGGAACAACCGTTTTTTAAAAATTCACTCGCCAAAGACTCGCCTAATGAGGAAGAAACGCCGGCAATCTGAGAAAAAGAAAAAATTGAAATTAAAAATAATTTCGATTCTTCTTTTATTTTAATCCAATATATTTTATATATATGTTTTTTATCAATTTATAATTGACAATTCGAAGTAAGTAAGGAAGGAGAATTTTCGAGAGGAATAACGGAAGCCGAAATATTCTGGTATTCTTACCAAAATTATGTCTCCTGTTAAATCCCTGGGTGGTTTCGGCAATAAAGATTTTATGAACGTGAGAATGGCCAGGAAAATACTCAGAAAGGTGCTAATTAAGAATTCGAAGGTGAGGAAGAACCAAAGAGTGGACACAGAGTGTCTCAGTTGTGAGTTTACAACTACCGCATCATCCTTTACGGAAGACATCGTACACTGAAAGAAGAAAATAATGAATATTAATAGTAAATTAATAATAAGTTAAACGAGAAGATAAAAATAAATAAATCTAAATCGTTAAATCGAATGAACGAAGTTTTAGGGAAGAATGTTAAATATTAGAAAAAAAAAAAAATTGTAGAAAAATAAAAATAAAGATTTGAACGATGACCAAAGAAATTAAATTGCACTCGCGAGGCACTCGATAAATGTACTCTTATACGAAAATCTCGTGCTCTGCGAAAGTATTCATTCGACGAAAGTAAGGTAACGATATTACATAACGTGAAAATTATTCGATTGTTAATTTAAATATTTTAACAGTTTCGTTTCGAAATTCGAAATACTATCAATATTCGACCGATTTCACAGTTAACAAAATCGAAGCACCACTGGTTACCCAACAAATTCGAAGCCTTTATGAACCTTTCATCCCCTCTTGAAGAGTTTATAAGGCTCGCCTAAATACCATAGTGTCGATTTTATTCTTGTATTTCGTTTTCCTAACATTTTATCTACCCAATCCTAGAGTGTAGGCACGGCCGCAATTTAACTTGATATTTTAATTTTATTTTAACCTGCATCCATTATATATATAGTTATGGAATGTTGTTCCTCTAGATTGGCCAGAAAATGTTATTAAAAATTTTCTTAATTTATTTTATAAAAAATTTAAGATAGATTTACTTTAAGAGATTTTTCAAGAGATTTGAATTGTTTTTGTTAATCTAAAGAAACAAATGAATAAGAAAAATTTAAGTTTAAAGAAAGGATCATGAAAAGAATAAACAAAGGATATACTATTGAGAAAGAATGAGAAAGAATGATCGAAAAAGAAAAAGAAAGTCTCGACCGAAACTCTCGAAAGTCACTCGCTTTAAACCCTTCTTTTCTTTCTTCGGGTTGCTACATAACTTTATAACGAAACTAGGCTATTAATTACAGCGTAAAAAGTACATAACGGGTACATAATTTTTCCAGAATATGACATAATATACGGTACTTCTGGTTTTTTATAATTCATCATTTTATAATAATACTCTTTTATCATTCATCTCTTTTTTTTTTATTTATTACACCAAAATTTCCTACTTCTTATCCAACTTTTTATCTAATTAGCATCACTTTCTTGAAAATATTTTGATAAATACTATAATTATAATATTATCAATACCTCGTATATTACCATAATATTATAATTTTATAACAATTTATTATAAATTGAAGATAAAAGAGAAATTTCTATGTTTTATATATATTCTTAGGAATAATTTATAACAAGAAATATGGTGCGAAATATTCCAAAAAAATTTTAATTTCTTCACGGCTATATAGATTCCAATTTATCTTTTTTTTTTTTTTATTTTATTGAAATATATAGCACTTGTACAAGTATCAAAACAAAAAAAAAAATGTATATATTGCACAACACGTATTACGTGAAAGCAAGTCTAAACGATAACGATACGTATAAGGCACGATTCGAAACTGAGTTAGTACACAACGGAACGCAACCGGTTAAATTTCTTCCGTGTTCAACCCGTTGAATTTTTTCATTATTCATGAAATAGTTGGCCCGTTACGAATTCTTTTTAACCATATCTAATATTACATCCAGTTAGTGTAAGTTAGGAAGTGGAAAGTAAAAAACGATTCAAACAATGATTCGTAATCGATTCGATGAATAGAAATAATAAGGGGGAGGAAAAAAAAAAAAGAAAAAGAAAAAGAAAAAAATAGAATGCAATAAAAAAAGAAATAGAAAGAAATAGAATATAATGAAGAAAGAAATGATTGAAAAAAAAAAAAGAAATGAAAAAAAAAAGACAATGAAATGAAGAATGAAGAAAAATAAAGAATTTTGGATTTGATCGATTCAATAAATTTTTTCAAGAGATTTTTAAATCTTTATAACATTGTTATATAAGAACGAACAAAAAATTCAATCTATACGTGTGCATATTTTTGGTAGAAAGGTTGATAACCAATGCGTGAATAACCTTGTGACCTTGAATCTATAGTCATGTAACACAGTCTCTATAAGATGTTTGTCATGAACTTGATTCTTCGACCTGTTTCAAGGTAAACTTGTACGTAAATGCGCATAAGCAAATCCATAATAATTAGAAAAATGAGAAATATATAAAAGTATCATTACTCTTAAAAAATAGTTTCTTAAACGTGTCGTTTGATTTCATCACTTTAGCTAAAACTCGAAAGATTCATCAATAATTTTAAAATAATTTTACTTTTTAATAATTTTTTTAAAACACATTAATCCTTTTGCGTACATTCATTCATTATTTCAATTATTTTCTATATGCAACGAAACCACTATTATATTATTATTTGAAAAGCTATCTAAATAAAATGTTTTGAAAACTATCATGTATATATCGTGAAATGATAATTTCAAAGGATGAGAAAAAAATCAGACGATTTTTTTAATAATTTCTCTCTCGAGATAAATGATCAAAGTAACGAGAAAAAAAATATTCACTTTTTGATAAATCTGAATATTCTTATTAAAGAATAAATCACACATTTTGCAAAAAAAAAAAAGAAATAATTACCTGTAATTGTATATGTAATTCAATTATGGATCGATAATGAATGTTAACTAACAATTATAAAAGCCATCGTGGATATATGTTATTTTGAAAAAAAAAACACATTGCAAATTACACTGAAATTTTAAAATACTAGAAACTACCGGTTCAAACTCCACTCAACAGAATCCGACTGCTGCTTGAACTTGACTGAAGGTAGGCTTCTTGAAACAGGATAAACTATAGGTAGTAACAACATCATTAATTTTATACTTACATTATTTAGATTTTGCTCACGTTTATATTTGACCTTTCATCTGCATCATGTTTTTTTACATTCAAGAATAAATGAATTGTAATAAAAATTGTTCGTGGCCAAGCGTTTAACAAAAGAATTTATTTTATGCTATAACGTGATATTTAAATTTAATGATTATAATTTAATGATTATAATTTATTTTAAATCACAAGATGAATTTAGAAAATGTAATTGTAAAACAAAAAAAAAAGAAAGAAACTAATAATGATGTAACACTTTGACAGTTATTTTTTAAAATTAGTTTCGAAATCGTGAACTATGATCGGAAAAAAATCATATAGATGGATGGTTATTAAAAGAAGAAGAAACGACGCATATAATAAGAAAAAAAAATGTACCTTAAAAATTATAAATAAAAATCGAAAAAATGATTTACTTCGATCAATCAAAAAAGATGATTCAGTAAATTTTTTCTTAAAATATAATATATAATTAAAATATAATACACATACAATCAAAAAAGATGTATGTGATGATGATGATGATGATGATTCACTAAGTTTTTTCTTTCTTTTCGTATAATAACATTTTAATTATTTTTCACAAAGATAATTACTATTTATATAATAAGACAAATTTTGATTGAATATCTATATTTATTTTTATTATTTAAAAAAAGTTTTTTCTAACTTTTTATTTGTATTCAAATGCGCAATTAAATCTAATTGATTTGAATATGGATATGTATATTTTGAAGAAAAGAACGTTATAATTCACTTATAATTCTATAATACACATCCTATAATACATATCCTATAATATCACGTTAAAACTCAAAACGCGGATAAAAAATAATCATTATAAAATAAATGTTAATTTTAAAAATTGGATTTTGTTTCTTTTCTCACACGCGATATAAGTTATTTTTCTTAAAAAATTCATTATCAATTAAAATTGGATATTGTAAAAAATGAAAATTAAATTGGAAAAAAATCTTTGATGATTGAAATATTGCTATTTTAATTGTCTGTTATGTTTTCTTCAATTTTTTTTTTAAATTTATTTCTATTCCTATATTTTTTAAGAAATTTATAATCTTTTAGTGAAATTTATAGTCTATAGTGACAAAAACAAGTATCGATATTTAACTTTTTATATACCAGATGATTAATTTCGCTGAAGTTGATCAATTTATCTTCTGTGAAATTGAATTATCACAAATCGACAATGGCATGTTACGTGAAATTCTATACTATTATTTACGCAAGAGTCATTTATCTGTCATTAATTGTGATTTTTATTATTATAATTAACAGAAATTCTTTTTAACGTGTTCAAAACGAAAAATTTTTGTTTCTACTTGAAAAAAATTTAGATTACGGTTAAACAAATTGTTAAAGTAAATAAAATAATATTAAAATGAATAATAATTAAAATAAAATAAACTAAAATAAAATAATATAAAGTAAATAAAAATTATGCTATAAAGTATCAAGTATCATTTGCTAACAAAAACAATATTTAATCTTGATCTTGAATTTATTATGTTTTACGTTTTTAAATTGCGTAACACCATGATAAAATGCAAATATGAACGTATAATTAATAAAACATAATATCAGTTTATACAATTGATCATTATTCTTTAAGATGTGTTAGTTTCACAAATTGCAAGTTTTTCTTGACGTTTCCGATCCACGTCAGCGAGGAAGTCAAGGATCAACCTCATCACGGTTTCAGGGACTATTCTGAAAGCCATAAACGCAGCATTAAAACTTTATGATTATGAAAATATTATAAAGGAAATTTTATTATAAAAGAAATAATCATATATTTACTGTTTTTGCTTTAGAATTAAAATTGTTTTGAATTTATTTGTATACATGGTGAGAAAGAAAAAAGAAAATAATATACCTATTGATAGAATTTAAAGTAAAAAGACATCTGGGAATGGAATATTCGGTATAATTTCTTCTGAATGCTTTGATTATCTCTTTTGCTGCATATTCTGGTGATATTACACCAAATATATAAGGGAACCTAAAAAAATAGATTAAGATATTTAATTTAAAAGAAAATTATACATAAAATTGAACTTTGAGAGAAAAATTTGTAATATTTTAAAGTAAGTCGCACTTTACCTATATTTTGGATCCTTGGCTAATCCGGTATCTACGTAAAATGGATAAATAGTTGTAAATCTTATATTATTAAACTTGGGGTCCAATCGTAATTCCTCGTGAAGAGCATCCATCAATCCTGTTAAAGATTTATTTATTAAATTCATATTCTTTAAAATAAAAATTGATGTGATGGAAATAATTATTTGCTTTTAAAATTTAAATTCTATAATAACAATCTATGAATGGAAAAATAGATTCAAAGATTGTTAATTTGCGACTGAAAATTTCTCTCAACCTCTCATTGCAAATTTCGAGGAACAGTACGCTACTTTTTGGGACACCCCGTATATACCACACATGCTGCATACGCAAACTATATGTCCTTTTCCGTTTTGTATCATACTTGGTAAAAAGGTTTCTATTGTCTGTAGAAAAAATTAATAATTCAAATGAGTGTTTCTTTAACACATTTATATTATGATTAGTGTTATCCGTAAGAATTCTTGAATTTTTAAACTTGATATTTGATAAATGAACATGGATATTTGAACACACCCAAAAGTTTGATAGAACATTAACATTAAACGTCTTCTCAATAAGATCTGATTCTTGATTCAGAAAAGGACGATGATATAATACAGCAGCATTATTAATCAGGATCGATACTTCTGGCACACCTACTTTTCTCATTAATCTTGCAGCCTCTCTGACTTCTAATCTTTTCGATACATCGACCACAAAACCATAAGCCTAAGTAATTTCTTTTTATTATTAAAATTATATTAAAATTATATTTTATTCAAAATTAAATAAAAATATTTTAAACATAATCTTGATCTGATCACTTTCATGAATATCAAAAAATATTAAATATATTTTAAGATCGTAAAGATTGAAAATTAAAATTAATCTCTAATTGCTGATATATTTGAAAAAATTTAAGGATAAGCAAGAATAAGAATGCAGTTAATAAATATAAATATATATATATACTTTGTATTTATACAATCTCATTTTCATCTCATTATCAGAGATTTTATATTTTATTGCTTTTCTAAACTTATTTTAAAGTAATCTTTCGTTTCTTACTTCTCCGCCATTTTTTGACACCATGCTTATAGTCGATCGATTTGCTTCTGTATCTATGTCCCAACAAACAATTATACAACCTAAAGAAGCTAATTGAATAGCCAATTCACGACCAATTCCATGTCCAGCGCCAGTTATCTAATAGAATTACGTAGAAGATAGAAATAAAATATTGAAATTATGTTATGGATGATTTATTCATTTACCAACACAGTTTCTCCTATCAAATTTTTTGCTCGAGGAGGTATAACCATTTTAAAAGCAGCTACGGTCATGGCAAAAGTTATCTTCATAGATAAAACAAAAAGATCATACAATAAATGTAAATGAGAGAAGGTGAAAACATTCTTTATACTTGACATCTTGATTTTTTTTTAAAATTGTTTGATTAATCTTCAATAATGATATTAATTATAGAATAGCTTTTGTTTTATTAATCAACGTCAAAAACTTTACATATTTTTTTCACTTTGAAAATGATAATAAAATATTTATATATTTCTTGTTATTCGAACTTAATAAAAAACAATTCAAAGAAAATATACTATTGAAGTTAGCCAAATTAATAAAATAATTATTAGTTTTTGTACAAATATAAATTCAATTTATATTTTCCCGGTAAATAATGTCATGAAACGAATAAAACACAGATGCGTTTTATCGACTTTGTATACATGCCATAATAGAAATGAAATTGTAAACTACTCATTTCTTAATCTATGAAAATTACTTTAATTCTAAATAATATGTAAACATACATAAATGATATGTTGAATATCGGATTTATTATCAATTAAACAATAAAAAGATTAAGAACAAATAATAATTTCTTGAATTTATTTATTTGGAACGTGTTATAGAGTTTCCTATTTAGATTGAATATCTGTTCTATGGAAAGAAGCATTCTGATTCTTCATGGCGGAGAATGTTTTTATTCCTTAATAGCCGTGATAATATCGTCGATTTTGTGACTCGACAACAGTTTTCTTTTTCCACTCGTTCCACTCGTTAAATGTGATCAACATCATGGACATTCGCGGAATAGAAGTTACGAATCAATTGCGGGTAAGTGAAACATTTATACTTTTACTTGACTGTACCTACACTCTTCCAATCGTATAGTTGTGTTCAATAATTTCTGATGCAGAAAATTAAAGAATTATTAGCAAGATTCGATTTAATAATTTATAATTATACGATAGTATTATTCGATTTTTAATAATTTATGCAATATAGTTATTTGAGATTTTGAAGGTGATAAAATTGTGAGTTTCGATATGTCGTTTGATTAATCGTATGTGATATCTTATGTGGATATAAAAGTCGAAAAAAGCAAGAATCGGGAATAATAAATCTATTTTACTTTTATAAATCGCTAGGAATAATTTAAAATTATAAAGATGTACATTACAATTTATATATATCACAAATTTCATAATAAATATTTGTTACTCATTTTTTTCAGAGTGCTATTCGTGCTAAATTGTTGGAGTTAGGAATAAGATATGATGAAGAACTACCAGATTATATTTTAGTAATGGTTGTAAATAAAAAATCTCGCCAGCAAATGCATGAAGATTTATATTTGTTTCTGGAAAATTGCACAACGCCATTTGTTGATTGGTTACATGACCAAGTGTTGAAAAAGTTACAGAAAGTCACTGTGGCCAAGAAAAAATCATTGAGAGAATTTGTACCTACAGTTGTTGTAAAACAAGAGGAAGAGAGGAAAAAGAGAAAGACATCGACAACTTCTTTTTTGGAAGACCAAGCTGCTAATCAAACTATTGAAAAATCTTCCAATAAAAATATGAAAGATGATAAGTCATTCCATAAACAAACCATAAAACCAACAATATCTAGTCAAAAATTGGAGACAAGTCAAAATAAAATTGTAGATAAATCTATAAAAAATATTAATCATGACAGTAAATCAGATGAGAATACATCGAATCACAATATTTCTCAACAACCTGTGTCCAAAAGAAATGAAAGTCAAAATGCAAATACAAGTAAAGAATTATCACCTTTTGAAACTTCCAATAATAAAACTAAAGATTCTCATGTTGAAACAACAAAACTTGATGATTCATTACCTAAAAATTTAAAAAGACCACTGGATACAACAAATAGTTTTAGAGATGGTTCTGAGAAAAAACAGAATGAGACAAAAAGATCAAAAATCCAAGAAGATGTAGAGAGTACGACAGAAGATAATGCGAAAAAATTGAAGTCTTGCATTAACAAACCAAAAGTTACATCCGTCGTGTCTGTAAAAAATCGCTTGGGTATGGTATCGCCCAGAAAAAAATTTGAAGTACACAGAGAAAAGATAGATACTGAAAGTCGATATAGGCAAAATGAAAAGCGTCCTGAAAAATATCGATTGGACAATAATCGAAATAACAATTTTCCAAGAGGGAGAACTTTTGATATAGAAGATCGTACAAATAGAAATCGTGAAATAAACGAGTCTGATAAAATTAATAATATTAAAAGTCGATTGGGTAATTCAAAAGTTCCCAAAAATGTAGAATTAAGAGAAAAAGCAAATTCTAATTTAAAACCGAAATCAACAGAAAAATCGATGGGTACAATTAAAGATCGATTAGGTATTGCTAATATTAATAAATCGTCCAAATTATTAGGAAATAAAGAGTCTATAGAATTTAAAAGCAAGCCTTTAGAACAAGATCGCGATACTCTGACTAATAATAAAAATATAAAGGAGAGATTGGGACCATTGAAAAATAATTTTAAACCACCAAATATTAAAAGTGGTTTTAATTCATCGATTAGACGTTCTCAAAGTAGCGAGGACGATGATTATCTTAATTTGGGTGCAGAAGAGGAATTAGATGATGACACGCAATCTATAGGTGTTTCTGGACCTATTAAATCCCACATTATAGCTGTAAATAAATCTGCATCAAATAAGACTGAAAGAAAACGATTGAAACCATTAGAAAAGGGCAATAAATGCAGCGATGCAGAAGAGGAAGTTGAGGAAACTAAAATATTAAGTAAAGTAATCGTAACTCCAAGACCATTGAAACCTTTACAACCGGCTCAAAAACGTGCTACACAATCACTTTTATTAAGGGCAGTTGCAGAGGCAAATCAATCTGTTGTTATGCAAAAGAATCCAGAACCATCCTTACTGGTGTGTATAAAATGTAATAAATATTAATGTCACAGATTTCCATTTTGGTTTTTTAATTCAAAAATGTTTTTTTATATAAAAAAATTTTCACAGGAGAAGAAGCAGACTTTAAAACATCTTAAACCAGCTACTGTACGAGACGTAGGTCAAAATTTATCAGTACACCTGAATTCTAATAAGCGATTAGTTATGGAAAAAATACAAGTAGAATTAAACACAGATGTTTCAGAATCGAAATCAAAACCTTGTGAGTATATTTTTATTCTTCTTCTTCTTTTTTGGAGATATATATAATACTTAAAATTGTTTCTCTAATATATTTAGTATTGTACGGTCTATAGATGTACCGCAACCAGTTACCGAGGAACACATGGGTGTCGTAATGTCTTTATTCCAAAGGAGCGACGATAACCAAAAATTTTTAGTTACACTTAATGGATATAATAATAATTTAATGAAAGAAAAAAATACATCTGACGACGATGAACGACTGGAAATGGAGGTAGTTATTAAAATTGAAATTATACATTTATTCTGTTTCTTTTAATTTTTTACGAATTTACATCGATTAATATTAATTTCAATAACATATTTATTTATAGGTGAATGAAGATGACGAGCTTGCACTATCAACAATTCAAAATGACATATACGCACAGAATGAATCGGAAACTTCTGTTTTTCATGTGTCCGAAATGGAAACCGATGGCGATTTAAATGTAAAAGAAAGAAATGAAGAAAATAATGAAAATTGTAACACGGAAAACGTAGAGAATACCGAGGAGATACCAAAAAAGAGGAGAAAATTAAGTCCAATTATTTATAATAGATCCCATTCACCAAGTCCCACGGATTTAAAGTCTAGTACATTATTAACAAACCCATTATTAACAAAACGTAAATAATATAGTTTTAATAATTAAAGACCTATAAAAATTCTACAATATAAATGCATTACAAAGTTGTTTTCTGTATCTAGGTTTAGATAAAAAACCACTAACAGAGAATACGGTGACGGTGATAGATAAGTCAAAAGAAAAATGTAGATACTGGCCAAATTGTACATTAGGAAATAAATGCGCGTATCTTCATCCTCTCGTTATGTGCAGGTTATTATCTTATTTAATTTTTTTTAATTCACTATCGTTCACAATTAGTCAGTCTTTTTTAACTATTACTTATCTATTCCCCCTATTATAGTGTATTCCCTGCGTGTAAGTTCGGAGACAAGTGTGCTTACAAACATCCCAAATGCAAATTCGGCTTGTCCTGCACAAAACTGGGATGCGTATTCTCTCATCCTGCCCAACAGTGCAAGTATCATCCATTCTGCACCAAACCAGCGTGTCCATATTCTCACCCGATGCCAGTTGCCGCGGAGGCGTCTAGTCAAAGGGCGAAGTTTACGTGGCGCAGGCGAGATTGAGTCACACTATTGTACAAACGATGTACAAATTTCCTTTTCCTTTAGCGTTAAATCGTCATGCACATTGACAAGAATACTGTCGCGATTTATTCGATTTTTAGTAACGATAATCGAAACATGTGACGAAAGTAGCAATAATATAGTAGTAGATTAATACTGCCAATTACGTTAGGTGCGTTATCAATATGTAATTATAATCTAATTAACGATTATAAAATATTAATGATTCTTGCTTTTTACTTACTAAAGATCTTACACGTTTGTAGATCTATAGTTTCATTTATTGTATACGTATCGCACTTTGCAAATGTAGAGTTTTCAGTAGCATAACTTTTATCTACTACGATCGAACATATTTTCTTACGATGTAATGTCTTCTTTTTTTTTTTTTTTTTTTTTTTTTTTCANTTTTTTTTTTTTTTTTTTTTTTTTTTGCATATTGTTAGCGATAGTATTCTTGCCGATAAATAAAATACAACATTCTACTTTGTACAAATGAACGGGTGTACGTTTTGATCGCAAACTTTGGACGGATTTTCGACGTTCGACTCCCATTTAATCTGTATCATATAATTACGTCGACTCACACAGAGAGTAATGGTTTGCATTTGTTGAACAATACAATTAAAAGCGTTGTAATTTTATTCGTTACCCTACCTCTATGGGTTACGGACATTATCTTTTACCATTTCGCCGATCCAGTTGAATGGATCGTGGCTCGTCTATTCATTTTACTAGCTTTAAGGAAATATCAATAAGACATTATATTGATTCGATATTGATGCGAGTTTGACAAGTAATATATAATATGATTGTTGAACTTCCAAGTGTTTTTTTGTTCATTCTTTTCGCCTATATTAGTTAAGATGATAAATGATTTCATTTTCTGCGTTATATTTCAAATAGAGATTTCTTGTTTTCATTTCAAATTTATACAAACTCTATTTATTAATCAATGGCTGTGCAATGTAATTGTCATAATATGATTTCGTTCGATCAACAAGATTCCTCTCATTCGAGTTGAGAAATTAAAAAAAAAAGAAATTCTTTTTTTCTTGTAATTTATAATTTATATTATTATTATTATATACGTGAATGTAGTGTATAAAAAAATGAAGTCATGCTTCAAGCACTTTATTATCCGTTTATTACACTAAAAAATTAAATTCACTAAAATCGATCTGTTAGGTATCACGAGGATATACGTCTTGTATAAACGATTATAAATACACGGTTATATCTGTAAGTTTTAAAACAATTCTATTCCCTTGAAAAAACATTCCTATTTCATCTTTGCAATTGAATCGAAATGTTAATTGATTTCAATAAAATCATCAAATAATGCCAAATGTTAAATCTTCTAATCATGCTACTTCAGTATTAACTCCTTTGATAAACGAGATTAAATATCAATTTAAATATTAAAAGTGTGAATTGTTATTGTAAATGGTTATGGAGCTATATATCTTCTATACATTCTATACATTTTAAGTTAAATTGCTGCGTTGGCTCTACATATATATATATATATATAAAGGTACCATGAACCTTTCTTTACCTGAGCACAATAATTGACATCTATATATTATGGTTTTATTACTTTAAGTCCGAACATTATTATGAAAAATACCAGGAAAGAAAAATAATCCGTTGAAATATTTATTATTGAAACAAATATTGGACAATAAGAAATAGTGAATAACTAGAAGCTAGAAAATTTGTAAAAAAAATAAGATACAAATAAGAAATGTAAAAATTTTAATAATTGTTAGAATACAGTTTTAGAAATATTTTCGTTTGATGACGTCACTAGATTGGCAGAAACTCAAGTGGCAAATAAGATGATTCATAGAACCATGTAGAACCGTTTTGAAAAGGGGATAAATAGGGATAAATAGAAAGGGAAGAAAACATCACATACAAAATCGTAGATCAGCAATGAAATTGAAAATCGCATCTTTGAAAATGTTCCATCTCGGTATTTTTTCTTCGAACGAATCATTTCCGTTTTTAATCATTTTCTAGATCGATCGTGCTTGCTTCGGATACTCTATATAAATGCTACTACGATACTGTTACTTACCGATCAAAGATTTCTCTCGAAGCGAAGAAAAATCTTTGCGAGAACGATTCGATTTCGAAAAAGAATCTTTTTACGGAAAAAGAAATAAAAATATTTGCATAAATCATTGCGAAATGAAATTTTCTTTGTCTCTCTTTAATTACCGAACATATCAAAATAATATTAGAAAATGAAAGTGAAATTGAACTTGAAGTGAAAAGGAGAAGTTTTCAGATTCCGATTCGTATATAACATCTCGAAAAATAAATATATTATCGATTTAATTCGAATATAATGAGCGTAATAAACATCTCGTATAAGAAAATTTCAGAAAATACCCTGACGTTGTGGATGTATCCTCCGTGCTTATCTTATCTCACGAATTGACACGGTGTCTCTCGTTGTAGCTCTCCGTAGTTTCGTTCAGTTTTCTTCTGGGATCAGCCCGATGTGTACCGTGAAATTGCACGCACGCTTTCAAATTCCACGTTCGAATTGATTAATTTCTATAATATACAAGCACGATGTTTTAATCTATTGCCTTCGCTCCGGGAAGACGTAATCGCGATCTCCATCGTTTCATCGAGATAACTTTCCCATTGAGAATACGTGACCGTTTTAAAGTTCTCAATGCTTCGTCCATTTTTCAAGAAATCGTAAGTATATATATGTATATATGTATGTATGTATATATATATATATATATATATATATATATATATATATGTATGTATATATCCCTCAAATAATTTTTACGTTTTTACGGTTTGCGTTTTTCACAATCTCTTCTTTGCGATTCTACGAATGTACACGTTGTTATCGTATTAATGATGATCGAAATGGTTGAAATGATTTTGAATAAATAAATAGAAAAAAAAAAAGAAAAGAAAGGAAAAAGAAAATACAATTTCTTTCTACAATCTCGCGATACATTTTATTTGTAATGCGATCTATGATTATTAATAGAAGGTTAGATCGTTATTAATATCGTTAGATGATAATAATAATAATAATAATAATAATAATAATATTGATACCTATTAATCGATACGAATTGTCTTGAAAGCGGACGAGATTCGTTTCATATTGGAACGTTCAATTATTTGTTCCAACCAATGGATCTCGGAAAGGTGGAGGAAGAAACGAAACGTCGGACGAGTAACTCTTAGATTTGTCACTGAGAAAGTGGGAGTTTCCATTTTTCTTTCCCTCGATTGGCTAAATGGGACAATTATGCGAAAAAGGATGGGCAGAATTGGGCAGGCACGGGCTCATTTTCATACCTTCCTACCAAGAGGTCCTTTATCCTCACGGCAGGTAGTGGAGAGACAACTCTATTTTATGATAGATAGTAGTTGAGTTGAGACAACACGGATCATTCTTGTGCGGCAAGTGTTAGGATAAACATCGGCAGTGAAAATTGAAGCGTGCATCAGATATTCAGAGTAACTGAAGTGTCAAGATATCAAACCTACGTGATGGGAAAGAGGAAGATCGCCGAACAAAAACCTAAGGAGAAGGTTCGTACTCTATTTTCTTCACTTAATATCTCGCTACTTATACGTGATATTTGATCTTGATGGTTGGTTCAAATTTGCGTTCAGAGATTTCGCGGATCAATCGATAGATAAATGTTTTCGTGAACTTGTTCTCGTGAAGTCGAGCGTATCTTGCGTATCACGTTCGGGCGTGATCTTTCTCTATCTTTATCTCTTCTCTAATTTTCATTGGAAAATTGTAATACCGGGAAAGAAACTATCGTCGATCGAATTATATATTTTCGTGAACTTTGATTGTTCGATACCGGATGCAGAATGATCTGAGAGCGGTGATCTCTCTCGCATATTTAAACATATAATAAAAAAAAATATAATACGAAGAAATAAAAGATAATAATATAACAAAATATAATCAAAATGTGCATTAGGTAGATTTTATATATGTATGTATAT